GAAAGTGAGAGGATGGAGGAAAAAAAATACCCAAACACTGATCAAACACTGATCAAAGGAAAGCTGGAGCGGCTATATTAACATCAGATAAAGCAGACTTCAAGGCAAAGGAAATGAGCAGAAGCAGAGAGGGGCATTATGTGAAGAGAAAAGGGCTAATTCACTGAGAAACCCTGGCGAGTCAGCGAGGGGTGAGCACTGGAGCTACAAACATGAGAAATGAGAACCGAGAGGAGGAAGAGAGGCATCCACAACACAGCTGGAGACTGTCACTCCTTTCCTGTGTGATAAAAATGGTGCCCAGCAACCAACAGCCTCTCAACCAACAGGGTCTCACTAGCAAGCACACCCTCCTTGGCAGTAACACATCCTCACTCCCCAGTGCTCTTTGACTAGAAGCTGAGAGAGCGTATTTCAGGTCATATAACCAATCTCCATGGGGTGTGGTGACACTCAGAGATCACTCCTGACCGGGGCCAGGAGACTGTATGGGGACTGAATCCAGGTTGGCCATGTGTAAGGCCTACCTGCTGTACTATCTCTCCAGCCCCCAATGTGTGAAGGGATGGATATAATACATACTGGTTCTCTTACCACAATGGAACTAGAAATGAATAATTCAGAGCTAATAGGAAAATCTCCAAACACTTGGAAACTCACCAATATAGCTCTAAATAATCCATAAGTCAGAAAGGAATAATACATCACACAGAACGGAATGGAAGCAAAACCAAAACAGGGAAAAATATGTGGGACACAGGCCAGAATGGTACTGAGGAGGAAAGAGAGTATGAAGAATGAGTCTCAAATCAATAGTCTAAGTTTCTAACTCAAGAACCCGGGTGATGGTGGGGAGGTGAAATAAACTCAAGTATAAAGAACAGCGATGAATGGAACTGCAAACGGAAATGAAGTCGAGGAAATAATGAAAGATATTTGGTTCTTTGAAAAGATGAATAAAATAGCCTCAGAATGAGGATGTGACTCAGAGGCAGAGCACTTAGGGCGTGAGGTGTTGGGCTGAATTCCCAGCACTGCATGGTTCCCTGAGCACTGCTATCAGTGAGCTCTAAGCACTGAACAGGGGATTAGGTCCTGAGCACAGCCAGATGATGCACCCCAAATTAAAAAAAAAAAAGCAAGACAAAAGTCAAATTGAAAAGTCTGTAGGACTGAGGAGCAGAAGTGAGCTCACAGATGAACAAAATCAGGCATAAAAGCGCCGCCCTTTCAGACTCCACGGACGGACCCCACACACGCAGATCTGACAGCACAGATAAAATCAGATTCCTTGGCCAGCATGGTCACCTGAACTTGCTTGGCCTTTAGTAGGCAGTCTGAAGAGCTCTGTGGCTGTTAAGGGAACTGAATTCATAAGAAAAAAGCTCTCCCCTTTTTGGGCTTGGGGAAGAAATCCGCATGCCGAAACTGAAAAGGGAAGATATAAAACAATTTTTATTTGCAGATGACATGGTTGACTAAGTAGAAAATCCCCCCCCCCAAATCTACGAAGAAAAACTCCTAGAATAAATGAGTTCAGCAAGATCACAGGATAGAGGAGACACAGCCACAAATTAAACATATTTCTATATACAACAGTGAACATAGGAACAACAAAAAAGAGAAAAATAACAATATCATTCATAATTGGTCAACAAAGAAATATGTATAAATCCAGGAAAACATGCCTCGAACTTGTCTGCTCCACACCACAATAATGATGAATGATATCAAAGATCTAAACACATGTTCAGGGACCAAGAGGCTCAATATAATAGAGAAGCCAATTCGCCCTAAAGTGACAGGTGAATGCGATCCCGTCAAAAGCTCAGCAAGCTTCTTCTTGTTGTTGTTGCTGACAAAGCATTTCCCTCCTAAATTTTATGCAAAAGGCTAACAGTTAAAATAATTTTGTAAAAGAAGACTAAACTGGGAGGAATCAGGGTACCTAATTTCTTTTTTCTTTTTTTGGGTCATACCTGGTGTTGCTCCGGGGTTACTCCTGGCTCTGCACTCAGGAATTACTCCTAGCGGTGCTTGGGGGACCATATGGAAACCTGGGGATCGAACCCCAGTCAGCTGCATGCAAGGCAAATGCCCTCCCTGCTGTACTATCGCTATGGCCCCAGGCTACCTAATTTCAAGATTTATTATAATTTTGTTTGTTGGCCACACCTGACTGTGTGCAGGGCCTCCTCCAGGCTCTGTACTCAGGGATCACTCCTGGCATGCTCAGGACCATATGAGATGCTGGGAATTGAGCCGGGGTCGCCCACGTGCAGGGCAAGCTCCCTACCAGCTGTTCCATTGCTCCAGTCCTCACGATTTGTTTTATAGCTACAGGGATCCAGACTGTAAAGAAGGACAGACACATAAATCACCAGGACAGAACAGAGAGCCCAGAAATGGATCCCCCAAATATCTCTATTTTTTTTTAACAAAAGTGCAAAAGGAATACAACGAAGGAGAATAATCTTGTTAACAGACAGTGCTGAAGCAACTGAACCATCACTAATGAAAAGATAAAACTAACCAGCCTGGAGCCAAACAAAGCAGAAAATGAAAGCCTCCAGCCCCACACCTCATGCAAAAGTGAATTCAAAATGAACCAGAGAAGTAACTGTAAAACATCCAGAAAACGCACACACACGGAAATAGTCACTTGAGGATAGGCGAAGAACACTGGAGAACTTGACATCCCAGGCATAATTTCCATAAGAAAGGGAGAGAGAAATCAGATTTTGTCCAAGTGCAACACTTTTGCTTTGTACAGAGCTGGAGCGATAGCACAGTGGAAAGGCATTTGCCTTGCACGCAGCCAACATGGCCGACCCGAGTTCGATTCCTCCGCCCCTCTCAGAGAGCCCGGCAAGCTACCGAGAGTATCTCGCCAGCACGGCAGAGCCTGGCAAGCTCCCCGTGACGTATTCAGTATGCCAAACACAGTAACAACAAGTCTCATGATGGAGACGTTACTGGGCCCGCTTGAGCAAATCGATGAACAATGGGAGGACCGTGACCATGACAGAGGTTATGAAAAGGATAAAGACAAGCTATAGGAGCGTGTCGAGAGCACACGGGTAAGAAGCCTGCCTTGCATGCAGCTGATCCAGGTTCAGTCCTTGGCACTGCCGATAGTCCCCTGAGCTTCACCAGGAGGGAGCCCTGAGCACTGCCGGGTGTGGGCCCCCAAACAAAAACAAGAGTAAGAGAAAACAGGCTGGAGAGAGGCTCAAAGGGCAGGAGCACAGGTCTGCGTGCTGGGGGTCCATCCCCATCAACGCACCATCCCCTTGAGCTCTGCCAGGAGCGACCCCGGGTACAGAGACAGGCACAGTCCCCCTGCGGACTGCCGGGTGGGACACTCACCCCCGCCAAGCAAAAACAGCAACAAAACGCTGAATGGGAGAACTCACTTGCAAAGCATATATCCAAGAGGGGGCCAGTGTCTACCCATAGAAAGATCTCTCACAGCTCAACAGTAAGAAGGCAAACCGTTTATTTGGAACGTGAGCAAAACACACGAAGAGACCTTTCCCTGAAGGGGACCCAAGAGCAAACGTATGAGGTGAAGTCTGGCATCCCCAGACATCCCAGGGATGGACACTCAGGACATTCAGCAGCGTTAGTGGAGAGACGTGAAGGTAAACAGTGAGTGGCCACTGCAGGGGCAGCGTGGGCAGCGTGAGAGCTCGGGCAGTGAGGACTCCAAGACATGGCTCTGTACTCTGCTGGTGGGACAGTAAGAAAGGGGTGGCCGTTCCGGAAGCCGGTCAGCCGCCTCTTTAACAAGGAAGCTGGAGGACATTTCCTTGCACACAGCTGACCCAGGTTTGGTCCCCAGCACCCTCTCTGCTCCCTCAAGCCTCGCCAGGAGTAAGCCCTGAACACTGCCGGGTGTCCCCCTCAAAAAATCACCCCCAAACCAAACACATGGGCCGTGAGTGAGACAGGAGTTAAGTGCCTGCCTTGCACACAGCAGAACTGGGTTGGATCCTGGCCACTTCCTGGTTCCCTGAGCACGGCGGGCACAGTCCTACAGGCCTCTAAACACTGCTAGCACCCTAGATACTGGGTAGTATCGGTTCCTGAGGACCTGACTTCCATGCTGAGAAATGCCCTGGGCCCCCTAGGTCCTGCTTGGGAGGGCCTAGACTTACACCCTAGCGCTGGAAACCCTCCCCACTGCCTACAGTAGACCTGCCAGGTAATACCACATTGCACCCCTAGGTGTCACCACAGAGGCCTTGGAACAATGATCTGGAGACCAGGCCCAGCAGAGCTCAGGGATCACTCCCTGTATGGTATCGGGGCTCAAATTCCGGTCAGCCACGTGCCAGGCAAGTGCTCTAACTGCTATACTATCTCTTTGGCCCCCGACAGTTTTTCTAAGCAAATCTCAGACATAAATGGGCATGCACAGTCATTCACACAGAGTGACACGTGGATTCTCTCTCTCTCTCTCTCTCTTTGTGTCTAACACACACACACACACACACACACACACACACACACACACACACACGCACACACACCACCACCACCACCACCACCACCACCACCACCACCTGGCCTACCAGTGGGAACTATAGGCATGCCCGGCATCCTCACACATGCCCCGAAAGTGACTGACATTCTGACATTTGATCTCACACTAGCTAGGGGACTGGGCTGCAGGGACTGTGGAAGGCAGTGAGGTGGGGTGACCTCCAGGGCACGAGTGCGGGGACCAGTGACCCCTTCCCCGGTCATCTCACGCCGCTCTGAGCCTGCCCTCCCTCCCTCCCCAATGCATCACGTTTCAAAAATAAAAATAAACACTGCGGGCACAGCACAGGTGGGGTGGTCTCTCCCCACCTTTAGCACGAGTCCCCCATGGTAGAAGGAGTTTTTCCTCCCGGTGCCCTGTACCTCGTCACAGAGACGGCTGCCTCCCAAGTGACGGTGCAAGTCACTGAGCAGCTGCAGCTGGCCGTGACTCTGGGCGGGCAGCCCCTTACCTTGCTGGCCTTTAGGATCTCAAACATCAGGGGCAGGCCCTGGGTGACCAGCTCCTCCGTGTACTCCTCCTCTTGGATGGTCTTGAACTCCTTCAGCAGGCACTGGATGAGGGGCCGGCGGTGCTGCTGGAATGCCACGCGCAGGGACTCCAGCCACGTGTGCAGCGTCCACGGGACACCTGGGGGGGCAGGGCGGGGCACAGGGAGGGAGGCGGGAAACAGCCAAAGGAGAAGGCGCTTGTTGAGGGCCTGGCCGGCCCCGACTGACTCGGGAGGGCAGAGCCCATGGCCACGGCGGGCGCTGCTCGAAGACGCACAGTTGCGGATGTGGAAGCTTCCCTGTCCCCTGCTTCTCTTGGCTCTGGGCGCCCGCGTGCTTCTCTGGAGGAACTGCACACAGACTGTGAGGGGTTGGTGGTGGTGGTGGGGGGGGGGGGCGTGTGCTCATGGACACCACCAGCTCCTGGGCTTTGTGGGGAGCAAGGCTGACCGTGCAGCCCTCCTGCACCTCAGGAGACTGAGCTCTGATCTCAGCATGGCTCACTGTTGTGGTGGCGACAAGCCCCCCTTCCCCAGCCTGCTGCTCCACACTCCTGCGAACCGCCTGTCTCTCCATTCTCACCCCGGGTGCACAGCGAGGTTTGCCAGACTGTTCTGGTTAGCCTAGCGGGGCTGGGCTGGACCCCCTCCAGGGATGGGGCTCTCCTGCTTCCGGCTCAGGGCCCCCAACTCCTGCTGGGTCAGCTCTGCGAGTGAGGCGTGGCCACGAGGGCTCGGCCTCCAAGGGGCCTGCTCCGTGGATCTGGGGGGTCGCTGCCTGGGATGATTGTTAAATATAAAGATTCCAGCCTTTGTCCATCCAGACCCTTGACAGCAGAGCCTCTGGGCGCAGGGCCTGGCACTCTGCATTCACACAAGCTCCCAGATACGAAGGGGAGGGCCTCTCCCAGGGCCCCGAGTCGGGCCATCCTGGAAGGATGACAGAAGGGTGGGACAGGGGGCTGGCAGGACGCTGCTGGCTGTGGACACAGTAGGGTGGCCTAGCCTGGAAGTGGCCCACCTGCAAACAGACCTCATGTGTGTGTGTGTGTGTGTGAAGTGTGATATGTATCTGGTGTGTGTGTGTGTGCAGTGTGGTGTGTGGGTATGGAAGCTGGTGTGTGCGTGGGGTATGGTATGTGTGTGGAATGTGGGATGTGTGTGGAGTGTGGTGTGTATATGGAAGGTGGTATGTATGGACTGTTGTGTGTGTGTGGTATATGTGTGATGTGTGTATACTATGGTATGTATGTTTGGTGTGTGTGAGATATGGTATGTGTGTGAAGTGTGGTGTGTGGCGTGTGTTTGTGTAGAGTGTGTTGTGTGTTGAGAGTGTGTCTTTGTGGAATGTGTGGTATGTGCAGTGTGTGTCTTGTGGAGTGTGGTGTATATGTCTGTATGGAGTGTGGTGTGTGTGGTGTGTGTGTGGATTGTGGTATGTTTGGTATGTGTGGAGTGGAGTGTATGTGTGTGGTGTGAGGAATGTGTGTGGGTCTGTCGCATGCCTGTGTGTGTGAGAGAGTGAGACTGTGGTATGTGTGTATGGGTGTGGGTACGGTGTATGTGGTGGAGTACGGTGTCTGGTGTGTATGTGTAGAGTGTTGAGTGTGTGTAGAGTGTGGTGTGTGTTTGTGTGGTGTGTGTGAAGTATACTGTGTGTGGAGTGTGTGGTGTGTGTCTGTGTGGAGTGTACTGTGTGTGGAGTGGAGTGTGTGGCGTGTGTCTGTGTGGAGTGTACTGTGTGTGGAGTGGAGTGTGTGGCGTGTGTCTGTGTGGAGTGTACTGTATGTGGAGTGGAATGTGTGGCGTGTGTCTGTGTGGAGTGTGTGTGGCGTGTGCGGTGTGTGTGTGTCTGTGTGGGGCCCACACTGACCTATGCTCCGGATATCTATCGTGACATCCACGTAGCCATGCTCAGCGCTGTGATACATGGCCTCCCTCAGGGCTCTCAGTTTGGCCTTGCTGTTGCGGCTGGCACACAGGGGGGGCGGGGCCGTCTCGGCCAGGTCAGTCCCCTCGGCCAGAATCTCCTCCAGGGACAGGATATCACTCTTCTCCTTCTCTGGCTGAGCGAGCAGTTTGCGGAACACATTCCTGTCAATCATAAACCCAGAGAGGGACACTCAGAGATGGAAGGGCTTGGCGGGGCTGGGGGTGGGGAAGGGGGGACCCCCCTCCAGGACTGGGGTTCTGGAGAGCATGAACAGGGGTGCTCCATGGTGCAGATGGAGATGGTGGGGGTGTGACCTGGCTGTGTTTCCTCAGGATGACTTGGTGCTCTCTGCTTTCTGCAAGCATCTAGAAGGGTCTAGAAATCTCCACTTTGACTCCCTCTGCACTTTCCAACCACAGTGGATTTTGCTTTCCTTGGGGTTTTGTGAGGTAACATGGATGGGAAAAATCCTGGAGGGAATGTTGATGAGAGGTAGCCTAATGGGGGGGGGGGGGGATGTGATCATTCTGTGCCTAGTTCCTCACTTCCAGTCTGCCCTGGGAATGGACGTTGACCCACCCCGGTAGAGGGGTGCTCTGTGAGGGGAGACACGGGGTGAGGGGAGGACAGTCCCAGCCTCCCTGGGCAGAACGTGCAAGGTGTGACGTTGGCTCCTGGCAGACGTGGGCCTTGAAGGCCTCTCGGGCAGGGCCTGGGCCTGGACTGCTGTGGACCCCACATCCAGAGAGGGGGGCGGGTCTGGGCAGGCCTGGGAATCTGCATGTTTAACAAGCACCGCTCGGGGCCTGGGCTCCTGGCCCAGCCTAGCCTACCTGTGTCCATGGGCCGCGGCCTGGCTGAAAGAGTTCATATCCCCCTGCGGGGTGGTGGAAATTCCATTCCTGTACATGGTTCCTATCAGGGGGTCTGCGCCACGCTCCAGCAGCAAACTAACCAGCTCAAAATTTCCTGCAAGCCCAGAGAAGGGGGTTTCAGAAGCGGATGAGGCAGACGAGCACACAGACAGCGTGAGCAGGGGTGCGGCCGCTCGCCGCCGAGCCTGAGTCCCAGGCGCTCTTACCCACGGCGGCGGCCAGCTGCAGGGGCGTCTCCGAGTAGTTCTCCTCGCCGTGCTCCACCGAGCCCTCCACCTTGGCCCCCGCGTCCAGGAGCAGCTGCGGAGGGAACAGCCGCTGAGGTGCCCCGGGGGGGGGGGGGGGGAGGCGTGCACGGCCCGGAGTTGTCCGGACAGAGGGGTGGAAATCGGTGAGACGGGAGTGTCCCCCCGGGTGACCGCCTCCCGCGGGGTCAGTGACCACGTGCACAGGCTGTGGAGTGACTGTTGCCTCTCCGCAGAGGAATTCAGGGCTCCTGGAATCTTCTAGAAGCCCAGTGGGGACGGTCCTCCAAGGGGGGTGGGGGTCCCCTGGGGCAGCAGCCACAGCACTGCTGAGATGCTGGCCCTCAGGTCCACCCTGGTGCCCACTGACTCTGCATTTTAAACATGATCTCAGGGTGTATGTTGAACATACACGTTTTTAGAAACCAGAAACGCACTCTCTTGTCAGGTCAGTCATAAAAAAGACAGATCGTCAGAGACACGACTCCCCCCGCCACTCCCCTGCCCCTTTTGTCTTTGAGCCACACCTGACAATACTCAGGGGTTACTCCTGGCTCTGTGCTCAGGGACCATTCCTGGTAGTGCTGGGAGGGACCATATGGGATGCCGGAAATTGAACCCAGGTCCGCTGCGTGCAAGGCCAAGTGCCCTCCCCACTGTAACCTGATCCGGGTTCCCATCAGAGACATTATTGAGAAGCACAGACTCTCAAGTTCCAACAAACCTGGCACCCTGTGGGCCAACTGGCGCCCAGACTCCCTTCTGGAACATTCTGGGGGGTTCAGAACATAGCTGAGCAAAAGTCAGCCTTCGGGGCCAGCAAGATACAAGACTCAGGGGGCAACGGGAGCCAACAGGGTGTCTGCTTGGTCTGACTCGGTCCTGGGCGTCCCCTGAGGACTCAGGCCTAATTTGGAACGGGAAGGCCATCCGTCTGTGTTGGCTCGCCCAGCGGGCGCCCGCCGCACAGCAGATGTTAAGTGAGGAGGGGCAGAGACTGAATGCCCATCGGGATGCCTATGTGCACAGCTAAGAAAGGACTGCAGGGTGTCCTCTGTGCTCAGTGGCCAAAGGCAGGCTGACCACCATGGTGGGCCTGCTCCCCCTGGCCCTCACTGGCCCAGGGCTGCCCCATGCTTGCTAAGGGATGGTGGCTATTTCTAGCCAGGTCACCCTGGGGCCCCTTTGCTCTCCAGTTCTCCACAGGGAGTGGCCTGGTCCTGACCCTCTGCGGATGCACCAGCTCTGGGGTGAACCCCGCCACCTCCCTGATTCCTCCTTGGGCTGCTTCCAGGACACCCGCCGCCAAGGAAGCACCAGTGCAGCCAGCCCCAGGGAACTGCAGCCTGAGAGCAGTGGCCCGGGCTACAGGAGGCTAGGAGGCAGTGCCCCCTCGAAGGAGCGAGTTCCAGACGAGCCCACAGCTCAGCACTCACAAGGCGGGGACCACCAGATGTGGGCCTGGACCCCAAAGCCCGTCTCTTGTTTCTAGGAAGACCAGGTTTGAGATGGAGGCCACGCCAGCTCTCCAAACACCAGCTCTCCCATGGCCAGCGGAGGGGCCGACAACACACAGGCATGTGCTCCAACGGACCCCGGTGGGGCCCGCTCAGCATTCGCGAGGGACCGTCCTGTATTTAGGATGATTCTCAACAAGCAGGATCCAAGCCAACGTCTTGGAAACGCTCCCTCGGCAGAAGGAAAGCCGCTACTTGGCATCGACTCGACTCGCTCCAGCTCACTGGGCACCAGTTGGCACCCACGGGGAGGCTTGAAGGTGCCACATTCACGAACCACGCCACGAACCACGAACCGATCCACCAAAGCCACAGCTCAGGCCACTGGGAACAACTGGGCCAGTTGGGTCCTCTGTGTGCGAGGCTGTGTCAGGGCACGGGGCGGGGAGGTTTCATATTGGCGAGGGCCAGGTGAGAGACGGCAGCAGGGAAGAGCCTCCGTCCAAGGCCACGGGCGTGCTCCGTGGAAGGGCCACACACCAATATGAATCTCTGCGGACACATGCATGCTGGGGCGTGAGGGGGGAGTGCGTTAATACCTGAACTACAGGAATATGTCCATGCAACACAGCAAAAGTCAGAGCCGTCCAATGGCGGGTCTCGGGGTGGACGGACGGGTATTTATGAGGAGTACTGACAACCTATAAACAAATTGAAGTTATTTTCAACACGTGATCTTCGGAACCCTGAGACCAGCGGGGCTGACCTCTCTGAGGCTGGGGGTGTGGGACGTGAGTTGGAACTGGAAGAGAGACATCCGGGAAGGGCCCGGAGGAGCTGGGGATGCGGGGATAGAGGACACAGTGCCCTGTGGTTTCTCCTGCAGGGCCCCATGACGCCGCCGCAGGAGCCCGTGGGAGGATGTCCAGGTGTCTCCCTCCTCTTTCTGTGCTTTCGGGAAGGCGGAGGACACCAGATGCCGCCAATCGTGAGAGCAAAGCCTGCGATTCCATTCGGCGGGGCAGCAGGGCCCGGTGTGGGGAGGTGTGCCCGGAGATTTCGAACCTCCCTCCGGCTGGAGCAGTGCTGCCGGCCTCGGCTGGCACCTGGGGGACAGGGACTTTTCTGCTCCCACACGCGGAGCACCAACTCTTCCCTGGATACGGCACAAACCCGCAAAACTTGGCACCTGACTTCGGCTAGAGGGGGCTTCCCCTCGCGCTAGGGCGAGAGCAGGATTTAGCACGATGCCCAGTTTGGGCCTCCAACGTTCTGGGTCGCAGACCCACCATGCCGGCTTACAGATCAGCCTCGAGAACCCCGAGTCCAGCACCAGGACCCAGGCTGCTGAGGACCCCTGCAGAGGGGTGCACTTCGGGGTACCCAGCAGGGGGAACCCCCACATCCCCTGGCTCCTGTCAGATCCAAATGGGTCTGGATTCCAAACCCGGTCCACTGCCCGCTTTCCTCAGAAGAAAAGGAAACGCGCTAATAAAATCCTTGAGAAGGCACAGGACGAAGACCGCGCGCGTGCTCTCTTGCCTACACGGTAGAGGATTTCAGGGCCGCGGAATTTTGGCAGCCGGGTTCCAAGCTCACACGTCCGCCAGCACAGAACAGGACTGAGAGGCGTGGGTCCCCAAGGCAAGTCCAAGGAGGGAATGGGGGTCCATGGGGACTGAGCAGGGAGCGCAATTAGGGGGTCCTTCCAGCCACTCCCGACGGCCAGTATGACCGCGGTCCGTTCTTCAGATCCATGCACGGAGCCTCAGAATGGTTCATGCCACCAGCCGGAACACAGACGGAGGGCTCGGGGCTGGGCCGCCTCAGAGGGTGAATCTAAGGGTCAGACCCCAAAGCCCATGGAAGTGCATTCTCCATCTATCCCACTGCCTCTCCGGGAAGCGTTGAGATTCAGCTCTGAGACTCCCTGCTTCTCAGTGCTCTAGGTGAGGGTCTGTGTCGGGGGGAGGGTGGCAGGTATTGGAGAGCTAAACCTCAGCTTGGGGGAACACAGATCAGCTGTGCCAGCAGGCAGAGGGTTCGGGCTCCAGAACATTCTCTTGGCTCCAATGCCCAAAGGATTCTAAACCTGTCAGTAAGACAGGGAGATCCAGTCTGGCGGGACTTCAGGGGTCGTTTCTAAAGGAATCACGCACGTGGGCAGCAACGTGGCTGGGTTGGGGTCTAGGGTGGAGGAGCCACTGTAGAGGGTGGCCCAGAGGCCGCGGAGCCGAAGCAGAGGGAGGGTCCCTGTGATGTGGAGACAGCTCCCCACCCCCGCCCCAGAGAGGACCCCAGGAGAGAAGCACCCTTCTCCTCGCCTGAACCCCGGGGACGGGTGCCCCGGCAGCCCCCAGCGTCCTCACCTCCACATTCAGGTCAGCTCCAGCGTCCAGCAGCATCTGAACCATGGCCTCGTCCCCACGCACACACGCGTACATCAGTGGGGTCATGCCCTGTGGGGACCGGAGAGCAGAGAGAAGGTTTATAAGGAGGGACAGACAGACGCTTACTTACTTGCTCGGGAGCAAGAGCAAGTTCGGCTGGTGTTCCAAATTTGCAGGGGAAAAAATGTGCATAAAAAAATGGGGGCTGACCTTTGACCCATCTGGTTACAACCTACCAGGATTCAGCTTTACTGGGGCAAGATGCAAGGTGTGTTTTCTGCGTTTATCTTTGCCTAAACCAGAGGGCTGTGTTGGTTTTCGTGTTTGCTGAAGCACATGGCTGATTTCAGCTGACAGATCTTCAGAACTTTTTGGAATCTCTAATCTCAACCCTAAGGGATCTGTCTATAATCACAATTCCCTGAACACTTCCTCTTTCCCAGTGTAACAAGTGCTATTTTATTCTTTCTTTCTTTCTTTCTTTCTTTCTTTCTTTCTTCCTTTCTTTCTTTCATTTTAATGAATCATCATTGGGCTGGAGCGATAGCACAGCTGTAAGGCGTTTGCCTTGTACGCAGCCAGTCCGGCCAAGCCAGGTTTGATTCCTTTGCCCCTCTTGGAGAGCCTGGCAAGCTACCGAGAGTATCTCACCCGCACGGCAAAGCCTGGCAACCTACCTGTGACATATTCGATATGCCAAACACAGTAACAACAAGTCTCACAATGGAGACGTTACTGGGTCCACTCGAGCAAATTGATGAACAACGGGAGGACAGTTCTACAGTGACAGTGAATCATCATGAGATACAGTTACAGACTTAAAAAAAATCTGTGATTACGTTTCAATCAATGTTTGAGTACCCATCCCTCTACCAGTGCCCTTTCTCCACCACCAATGTTCCTAGTGTCCCTCCCACCACCCCTTCCCCTTCCCTCTCCCCTGCCTCTGTGGGAGTCACATTCCCTCTAACTCTCTCTCTCCTTTTGGGTGTTATGGTTTGCGATATAGGTACTAAGCAGCCATCATGTTGCTCCATAGCCTACTTTCAGCATGCATCTACCATCCCGAGCAATCCCTCCAACCATCATTTACTTAGCGGTCTCTTCTCCCTCCCCAAGTGCTGATTTTGTTGCATCAGCTGCTGGCCTGGGTGAGGGGTATTGGATGCCTCAACACACCTGAGCCCCAGCGCTGACACTGGGCCTGATGCCATCATTTAAAAGCGAAACGAAGGTGTGTGTGCAACAGCATTCAAGAATTTCCTATGAGCCCCCTGCTTCCAACCTACCACCGGGGTCCCACAGGCACTAGGAGCTTTTCAATCAGCGCTGTTGTGATTGGGTTGTTAGTGGGAAAATGTTCAAGTTAAGAGTCTTATATTCTCCTGCACGTAAGGTTATTTCTAGCTTAATCAGAGGGATATGGAAAACACAGAGCCACCACACTGGGCTCTGGATGGGTTTCCAGGAAAAAAAAAAGTCCCAGAGGCAATCAGGCAGGAAGTTCATTACTGCGCTGGGGTGGAAAATGGGAAATCTTCTAACCTCTGAAATGGAGACACTTGCCACAGTACAACACAGGCTTGTGTGGAAAGGGCTCTTTTTAGAAGAGAAGGATGAGAGTCGGACTCCAGGGGGAAGACAGGCAAAAGAGAAAGCAAAAGGATGAAGAGAGAAAAGGAGGCTGTGTAGCTGGAGGAGCTGGGCAAGGGGACCCCAGGCTCAAGGAGAATCTGAGGTGGGGAAGAGGCGTTTGAATCCCTTGCAAGGACTTCCCTGAGGAAATAATCAGGTCCTGGGCAATGATGCGAGTGAATACTGTGTGTGTGTGTGTATTTTGGGGCTTGAGGGGGCTGTGCATTGCAGATAAGAGCAATTAGAAACAACTTAAGCATCTGAGCATGGAGTTATACGTGACACCGATTCACAGCCAGACTGTTTTATGTAGCCATTCCGAGTGACTTAAAAACATCCACAATGAGATTGTATACCGTGCCCACAAAACAAACAGAACATCTTAGAGAAAGCAAGGTATAATGAATTCCGATTGCCTTGCATCCATCTCACAGTCTGGGTTCCAATCCCTGGCACCACGTATGGCCTTCCGGAACCATGAGGGTGATCCCTACGCATGGCCGGGAGTGCGCCTGAACTCTTCTCCTTGCCCAATATATATCATTGTGTGGAAGAACGGCAGCTTCTTGGAGCATCCCAAGAAGACAATTAGCCACGTTCCCCCCCCCCCCCCCCCCCCCGCCCAGCACTTCCCGGGGGCTGTGCTATGCTGGGCATGGGAGAAGCAGCCGTGTCTGTCTGGCCCATCCATCTAGGGGTCCTGCCGAAAGACACAGCTTGCTTTCTGTATGTGATGTCTTTGCAACATCTTCACCCCGTGAGCCTTGTTGAACTTCATCCTGGAGTTTGGGGGACAGAGGTGTCTCTCAGAAATTCCCTGTTCACTAAAGCCCCTCAGAATAAACGACTTTCTGTATCCTAAACGCACTCTGAAACTTGGGTTGAAAAGAAAATCATCTGCCTGGTCTTGTTCTGTGATGCAGAGAACTAATTTTAACCGTGCTGGAAAGAAAAAAAGAAAAACTTGAAGGACAGAGACTAAAAATAAAAATGATGGTTATCTGGGTGATGACATTATTTCCTTTCTAGAACAGGACAACTTTCCTCTATTTTCCATTTCAGCTGCAGCGATCACGTGCTGTTTCTATAAAGATGAACACGGGTTTTTTTTTTTTTATAAGAGTTTTAAAACTGTAGCACTGTCCTCCTGTTGTTCATTGAATTGCTCGAGTGGGTCCAGTAACGTCTCCATTGTGAGACTTGTTACTGTGTTTGGCCTATGGAATATGTCAGGGGTAGCTTGCCAGGCTTTGTCGTGGGGGCGAGATACTCTCGGTAGCTTGCCGAGCTTTCCGAGAGGGGTGGAGGAATCGAACCCGCCTCGGCCTGGGCAGGCTGGGCCCAAGGCAAAGACCCTACCGCTGTGCTACTAAAAAAAAATAAAAATAAAAATAAAATAAAATAAGCCACTACCCGAAGTGGCCAGCAGAAGGAGCCTCTGTCCAGGGTCTGCTGCTTCTCTCCTGCAAAGGGCCCTGGGCTCCGGGGTGGGGGAGGGGTGTCCGCTGGCCACTAGGTCCCCGACTTACCTGCTCGCTCATGGTGTTGATGCCGTCAGGCCCCAGGAGGGACACCGCCTGCTTCACCAGGTCCGTCCGCCCACAGTTGAGCATCCGGAAGCCCAGGTCCTGTTTGAACTTGGCTTCGATGGCCACAGCGTCCAATTTCCGAGATGCGCAGAAGCAGTCGTCAGCCCTGAGGAGGGCAGAGAGGGTCAGGGGGCGCAGCGGCCATGCCCGGCCGGCCCTGAGGGAGCATGGGTTTGCTTTCGGTGCCGTTGCCCTAGTCTCAGGCTCCCACAGCAGAGCTGCCCAACCCTGTGCCTCCTGTCCCCTGCCCCACGCATACTCACAGGCGGCGGACACTGACCATCTACACGTCCACACACAGTCAGCAGCGCTGCACAGAGACAGAGCAGGAGAACCCCCCACTTGGGTCACACCCACACACAACTCTGCTTTTGTCTTCTGTGTTTTGGCTTGGGGGTCATACTCAGCAGTGCTCCCGGTTACACCTGGAAGTGCTTGGGGGGCCATGCGGTGCAGGAGTGAATCTGGGTCACCCACATTAAAGCGTTCGCACAGCCCAGTGAGCATCTCTCCGACCCCACCGAGGGTGCGTGCACGAGTGGGTGTGACTCTGTGTGCATGTGGGAGCATGCGTGTTTGAGCACTTGAGTACAAAAAAGTATGTGTGTGCATGCTCACATGCACGTCTGAGTATGTGAGCATGTGTGTACAGGTGGACGTGTCAGTATGTGTGTGCATGTTCGCATCGGTGTGTGCACATGTGAGTATGCATGCCTGCGTGTGTGAGTGTCCTTGTGATGTATGTGCGAGCACGTGTGTGAGAGCATGAATGTCTGTATGTATATGTGAGCATGAGGATGCATGTGCCTGAGTGTGCATGTGTGTGAGCATGTGACTGTGTGTGAACGCATGTGTCAACATGAGTGTACACATATGAGTATGAGTGTGTGTGCCTGAATGTGCATGTGTGTGAGCATGTGACTGTGTGGCTGCATGAGTGTACACATGAGTATGAGTGTGTGTGCCTGAATATGTGCATGTGTGTGACCGTATGACTGTGAATGCATGTGTCGGCATGAATGTTTACACGCATGTGTGAGCATGTGTCTGTGCACGTGTGTGCTTGCATGTGAGCCTGTGGGGAAGTATGAGATGTGAGTCACAGTGAGGAAGACCTTCCCCACCGCAGCCCACTACACTTCTGAGGTGACTGCCTTCCCCAGCAGGAGCCTCTTGGAGCAGAGAGGCAAGAGCTGCAGTTCTTTCTTTTTTTTTTTTGTTTTCTGGGTCACACCTGGTGATGCACAGGGGTTACTCCTGGCTCTGCACTCAGGAATTACTCCTGGAGGTGCTCAGGGGACCATATGGGATGCTGGGAATAGAACCCGGGTCGGCCGTGTGCAAGGCAAATGCCCTACCCGCTGTGCTCTCGCTCCAGCCCGAAGAGCTGCAGTTCTGAGCCTGCCCCTTCCCTGTCGAGTCTCTGAGCCCCTCTACCCTCCCCTTCACCCTTCATCCCCACCGTCAGCTAGATTCCATGTGCTTGGACCTGAGGAGCACCGCAGTGTGGGCACTGTGTGGGGAGCCTGTGAGTGCTCGCTGAGCGCCCAGAGATTGTTTACCAGCCACAGAAGTCCTTGATCTCAATTAGAAGGGAACAAATGCGAGAAAATTGTGGGCACTGAGATGAGGGTGATAATACTTGTTATTGGAAGAAGCTGATTAAAAACAGTTTTTTGTTTGTTTTGGTTCTTTTTTTTTTTTTTTTAAGTTAACATGGCTACGACAGTGCAAACACCGACGTGATGGCCCTCCCTGCTCTGTTACTGGGCCTCTACCCACAGTGGCCCCGGCGCTCCCCACCATCCCTGTGTCACTTCTACTCCTTCCTGGCGGTCAGCTCAGTTTCGCGATCCGAGGCCCATGCGCTGCTGTCTGTCCGTCTGTCCCTCTCCATCCCCCTGCAGTGGCGTGGGCTTGGTGTCTCCCAGGAAGCCGACGCCTGGGAACTGGGCCTGCTGCTGAGATCGAGCACACAGCCTCCTCCCGTTCCATGTGGGAGCTATGGGAGCCCCTTCCAGAGAGGAGGAAGCACGTGACCCCGGGCTGGCAAGCGGAAGCCCAGGACCTGACCGGGGTGTCTGGGCCCTGACTGGTCCCCTCAGTGGCACCTGACCCTGCTCGGGTGCCCACATCATCCCACCTCTTGGAGCCGCCTCTGGGATGCCTCTGACATCTACACTGAGCGTGTCCAACACAGCACTGGTTCAGGGGCAACACAACCCCACCCCATCTTGGAACGTGTCCCCCGGTTTTCACACCTCTGGAAATGACACCGCTGGTCTCTCCTTCCCTCGCACCCACATCCGATTCTTCAGCACTTATTGGCTCTGTGACCAGAACCCCCAGCCTGCCCCTGGCCCCTGGAGACCCCAGTTCTCAGCACAAGCAGCTCTGGCCTCCCGCATCGCTCCCTCCAAGCGCGAGTGAGGGTCAGGGGCTCGGGGCCACCGAGGCCCCGCTGGACCCTGTGAGGTCTCTGACGTGCAGGTGAGCCCTGCCAACTTCTCCATCCTGGTGACATGGTCACGGTTTCACACTGCAGGCGAGGTGGTCCTGGTTGTCCCGAGTCAGTCAGGTCAGTTGTGAGGACCTGGGAACAGGCCCAGGCTGATGTGACTGTGTCACAGGCAAACTTTATTTTTTTAAAATGGGGTGGGAGAGTGTCCACGGGAAGGCACTTGCCTATTATAGGCTGATTCAGGTTCGATCCCTGGCATCCCATGTGGTCCCTGAGCACAGAGCCAGGAGTAAGCCCTGAGCACTGCTGGGTGTGACCCCAATGCTGACACCCTCACCCAAAAGATTTTTTTTTTAATAAGTCACTGGAACTGACTCCTGTCCCAGTAGGAGTGCAGACCAACCAGAGGGAAGGGACTCAAGGCTGGAAGACAGTGATGCATTGGCTGAGCCATCCCGCAAGGAAGGGAGGGAGGAAGAAACACACAGGAATCTTCCTGAAGCCGCAGTTGTCTGGAGCGCCCTCTGCAGCTGAGAACCACCACACTTGGGGTCCTCCCAAAAGGGGTCTGGGCACAAACATGCCTTCCTGGGCCTTAAAGGACCAGCTCACTGCTTTTTCTGTCTCCTAATTTCTAGTCTCTAGATAACGCTGGAGTGCGAGTAGGGCGTTTGCCTTGCACGCGGCGGCCGAACCGGTTGACCTGAGGTCAATTCCTCCACCCTTCTCGGAGAGCCCAGCAAGCTACCAAGAGTATCTTACCTCCACGGCAAAGCCTGGCAAGCTCCCCATGACGTATTCGATATGCCAAACACAGTAACAAGTCTCACAATGTTACTGGGCCCCGCTCGAGGAAATCAATGAACAACGGGAGGACAGTGACAGATAACGCTTTTAAGTCTGTGGATCCAAAAAAGGCCGAGTACGGTGGAGGAGACAGTCCTGGTTTTAACTCATGGGAATCTGGTGACTCCAGAAGAACGTGTCCAGAGTGTGTACACAGGATAGGCAGCCTGGGTGGTGCGGTGGGGATGAGGGGAATATGGGGGTGGGGGTCTCATGGCTGCGGGGTATCCCGCGGAGTCCCCTTCCAGCTCCCCGCTTTCCAGCCTGCTGGAGAAAGAGGCTGCGCGCCCACTGGTCAGGTAACTGTGAGAGAGCAGAGATAGTGTGGCTGGGCCTAGCTGTGGGCTCTGAGGACACTTGGAAATCACTTTCATGGGGGGAGCACTATGCCCAGCCACATGCACCCCCCCCCCCCACCTGTGGCTTTTCATCTACTAGGCCCACTCGATCATGGCCCTGAGTGTGGACCCCGAGGTGGAGAAGTGGGAAAGTGCAGCTAGGCCCTGTAGGACCCCTCTTGAAGCAATCTTCCTGAAAGCAGTTCCCACGCTCCTGGCAATGCCAAACACTGAGCAAGACCCACAGGGGTTTCCACGCTCAGACCATCCCACGGTTTCTCGGCAATCACAGGAGCAACAATAACCTGAGTAAATGTTACCCAGGTAACATTTCTTGTATACGAGAAACTATTTCCCGTTTCTCTCTAGGGATAGGCAGAGGTATTTGCTCTCCTGCAGGTACCTGGGAGGTACTGGGTGGATGCGTGTGCCAACATTTCTATAAACATATTAAAACATGCAAAATTTACACACAAACATATGTAAGAAAGATCTGAAGATGCGAACATACTACATATAAATTTGAACTTTTTGGGGGGCGGTGGTTTTTTGTTGTTGTTGTCGTTTCAGGGGTCCCAACCAGCATGGTGCTCAGGGAAATTCGTACTTTTACTCTCCAAAATATATCATCCCAGAAAGGCTAAGGTTTCCAGGTTCCACAGCCAGCAAGTGGTGGGGCTGATATTTGAACCCAGAAGCTTATTCTATGATTTTTCTTTTGTTTTATTTGGGAGTGGGGGTTGGGCCACACCCGGTGGGGCTCAGGGCACAACCCCCCTATTCTGTGTTCAGTGCTCACCCCGACTCTATGCTCAGGGCTCACTTCTGGTGGTGCTCAGAAGGCCATATGCAGTACCAGGATCAAATCAGGGTCAAAAGCATGTAAGGCAAGTGTCTTACTATATCTCAGACCCTATTATTATTTTTCGAAGTCATTTTATAGCTGTAGAGCAATTACACCAATAAAAGTGTTTTTTTTTTTTCTTGAGGGGTAGAAGTACACCCTATGCTCTGGGTGCTGTGGGACAACTCCCACAACTTTGTGCTTAGTGCTTGCTCCTGGCACTGCTTGGAGACTGAGTGACCCCCACAGGTTACCCCCACTCTGACCACCCCACTCCCTCCACTGGCTCTGTGGGCTAACAAAGGTCTTCCCCCATTTACTGTTCAATTATTCAAATGCTGCCCGGGTAGCTGCTGGAGACCAGGGACTTGGCCGGGTGCCAAAGAAAAAGAAAATCCCAGCCACAGGCTTAAGGGACCTCTAACAACTGCCATCAGATCTCCCGAACAGTGCTCGGCCCAGCATCTCCTGGGTTCAGTAGCACCGGGGTGACCAGAACCACCTCAGTGATGCTTTAAGACCATGTGAACTGGACCCAGGGTCTGCGTGTGCGAGCCACGCGCTCCACCTCCCAGCCATCTCCCTGCCCGAGTTCTCTCTCTCCACTCTCTCCACCG